TGCTGTACAGTGCCTCTCCCTCGCACACAGAACTATTGGTCGACCTGCCACGACATGTCTCTTTTTGGCTTGTAATTGCTCAGGGCCACAGTGCTCCATGATGCTGACATTTTTCTGCGCTCTCTTCCATTCTCTGTTGGTTTCTCCTCCCCCTTGTTTCTCTGCCTGTTTATCTGATGATGAGTACCATTTCCCGTCAGTAGTTTTCTTTCTCAGTTTCTCTCCTCACCATTTTCTAACATCACCTTTTCTCTTTCCCGGTAATTTGCGAAAGTAGTGGCAAGTTTTTGATGTTGTATATATTTATATATTTTTAAGGTAGGCTCTGACTTCTTTTGACAAGTATAATCCCGTGGGAGAGTGACTTTAAGTCAAAATTCTTCACTGCTCCAAGTTTAACAACCACTTTTTTTGACATTTCTTTACCTTTCCATATTTGGTCTTCATTTTCTTTTTTTAAGCTGACATGGGTACGAGTTGTTCTATTCTCAGGGGATGTAGTGTGCAAAGAAAGTCTGTGCATTTATGCATATCTACTCTACACTTGGCGTCCGTGCTGTTAGTTGCTGCTAATATGTAATATACAGTGTAGAGCTGCAACTATGCATGTTTTTGGGCCAAATCATTTTGCCTATAACATAGTAAAGAAATCGGCCATTTAATTCCCAGAGCCCAAGGAGACGTATTCAGGTTATTTGTTTTGTCCAACCAACAGTCAAAAACCCAAAGATATTCAGTTTACTAACATATGTGACAAAGAAAAACAGCAAATTCTCACATTTGAGAAGCTGGAATCAGAAAACATTTGGTATTTTTGATTGAAAAATCTATTTTGTTTTTCTGTAAATCGAAAAACACTCAATGATTGTTTCAGCTCTAATACAATGAAATATCACATAAGGAACAACAAAGTAGAGATGCACTGATATATGTATATGTATATATATATACATATATATATTTGTGTCCTGTCCATCAGCTAACATCAACATTTAAAAATGATATCAGTATCACTCCAGTGTTGTTGTTAGTGTCTCAGTTAATACAGTCCTATCAGCAGCATTGTTATGTTGGTACATTGTGTTCATCCACATATTGCAATAATGTACCTGACTGCGTGTGTTTCATGGCAGGTAAAGGCTTGTAGCAGATCTTTTAAATGCCATCTAACCACACAGCCGATGTGAGTAAGTGCAGTAGTTGCAAATGATATTCGGAAGACTGGCTGATTTGTACAGGCAGCACAAGGTTGTCCTGACACAGTGAGAACCTGGTTTGTTGCGCTTCTTAAAAGACCGTGAGTTTTAAAATGGACATTTTACTGGCTTCATGGTTCGTTTAGACTGACCTGACTTCACTGATCTCTGTGACCCGATCCCCCCGTAAGAATTAACCCTTGAATGGGTTAAGCCTGACACTGTAACCATTTATTTGCGCTATCCACTAACCCCATGCTAATGCAGGGACGTTCCTTGTAGATTTAACAATATAAACAACAGGGGATTTGCTTAAAGCTACAAGAAAAAGTAGCTTGTCTCATTCTGTATTTAAATCTTGCAACTGATGAGGATCGTGTTAAAGATTATGTTGCATGTTCCTCTGACTGAAGCTCCCTTTTTGGTCTATTTAGTGTTTCCCTCCTCATTACTTTTATGAAGCAGTTAACATAAAGTGTGTACTCTGATCACTGACTGCTTCTGTGTGGAAGAAGCTGTTGTTAGGTTAAGTTTTTAGGTGTTGGCAATGTCCACAGTTTTAAATACATGTCATAGTATTTGGTATTTAAAATACCCTTTTATATGAAAATTAGTACTTAAGTATGCACATTCCTTTATTTCTCAGACAATCCTGCAGATAAGAAAGTAATTCAAAATCAAAAGATGATGAATACCGTCTCATCCGTCTTCTGCAGTGGTATTGACTGCCTTGCAACGCTCCACAAAGGATCATAATAGTGGCTGTTGGCTACAGGCTATTGTCCTAAAGTGCCCCCTACGGCCTTTTTGTCCCCTGCTGCCTCCCAGCCCGGGGTCATCAATTCATCACCTTTACCACCTCCATTAGCACCATCTCCTCCTCGGAGAGCCTTTAGTTGCCCTGAAGCAGCTCAGTGAACAACTGCTCAGGTCAGGGTGTCGAATGGCATCCTGAAATGTGGCTGTGCTGTGCAGATAGTGTTTCTGCATGTGAGAGAAAGAGTATGGATATGTTTGAGTGAGAAAGATCACTGCTGCTTTAACACACATACCCTGCATATGTTGTATCATATTAAACAAACCTTCAGCTTTTTGTTTGAGACATTAAGCTGACATTGTTGTGGCTGAATCCTAGGTGATCGATACAGTACTTTGGACTTCAAATGCAGCTCTACAGCTAAGCCACTGAATCATACAAAATTGAATTCTGTCCTGTACAGGGTTGTTGCACTATGATTTTCATTAAAATAGTTGCTTTATTTTTATTTTTAAACGGATGATTTAACATGGCATATTTGATTTAATGACAAAGGATGTAAGTACTTGATTCAGTCTCCTTGTCAAAGATCATGCAGCAGCTTATTAGAGCTGAAATGATACATTGATTAATTGATCAGTCGATAAACAGAAAATGAATCTGGCAGCTATTTTAAATAATTGTTTATTTTAAGTCATTTTAAAAGCAAAAACTTGAATTTCTGCTTTTCTTTGTCTTGTGTGATAGTTAAGGACTTTTGGTTAAACAAAATTTGATGATTTCAAATTGGCCTCTGGGCCTTTTTCACTACTTTCTGATTTTTTTATAGAACAAACAATGAATCAAGAAGGTAATCAGCGGATTCATTATTAAAAGTAGTTGTAGCCCTATGACAAAGCATCTTGTGATAGAGAAAGAGATTGTGTCGGCTTGAACCAACCTTCAATATCTAAAAGGTACAATACAGATTCATAATCTACCCGCTGTAACCAATGTTAAGTTTGTCCCCAGCTGAATTCTATAACACACCCTTTGGTATCACACGACTTAGTCCTGGGAGTGTCTTTGTTTGTGAGTGTTGACTTTGTTTCCATGTGTGTATGTCTGTGTGTATTGGTGAGTAGGCACTGGCACATTTGAGTGTTTGCATTTAATCTTGTGCTGCCAGCTTAGAGCGACGTTTCTCCCCGGAGATTAGAGGATGTTAGAGGCACTGCTGTGGAAATAGTCTCTCTTTCAATCTCTAAACACACTCAGAGGCAAGACAAAGTGGCTGTTCGCAGTGTTGGTGTGTTTGTTTATGTCAAGCAAGTGATAAGGCCCTGCAATAGACCATGGCTAATATGTTTTACACTCAGACCAAGGATTAAATAATGAGCCATATGGCCATTAGTGTTGATGGTGTTATTAATGTTCTCTATTGTGGGGGTGTTTTTAAATTTACTTATGTCTTGTTACTGAGAAAAATCACTGTGCATTGTATAATTCCATTTAATAAACAGATAAGAGTTTAGTATTGGAAACATTTCCATTATAGCCAAGCTCAAATTCTTGCATAACCACTTCACAGATGAGCCAGATCAGTAGTAATACAATTGGTATGTCTGTATCTATGGTTTCCACAGTACTTTGGCCATTCTTGAAGATCAATAATACTGAAAGTAAAGTCAGCCTCATGCTTTCATGTCTCAGTTTACACAGGTGTCGCAATGTTATGTCAGACTTGCTAGATTTAGATGTTCTGCTCTCGCCAGATTGCTGCTCCGAGTGTGTGTGTGTGTGTGTGTGTGTGTGTGTGTGTGTGTGTGTGTGTGTGTGTGTGTGTGTGTGTGTGTGTGTGTGTGTGTGTGTGTGTGTGTGTGTGTGTGTGTGTGTGGCTGTGTGTGTGGCTGTGTGTGTGGCTGTGGGAGTGCAGCACAGATTCAGAGAATTTAATCTCATACTGCGATGAAACGCGTACCCAGACACAAGGAGCGTGGCACTGCAACATCATAGATGGAGCATGGGAAGGTGGATCAAAGCACAATTAACTTTAGGTCTTCTGCCTCATCCTGTCTTTATTGGCTGGCTTAGAGCTTCAAGTCTGTCATTAGAGCCAAGTAAATGAGCCTCGCTAAAGATCCTGTGTCACCGCCAGACAGATAGACCCAATGCTGGCATGAAGACGGTTTAATGAGCAGGAGATAATCGAGAGAAATTAGATCTATATGAAGCTCTTCGTGACATTTTAATCCACCGTAGGCACTTCAGGTATTCTCTGTACGGCACAGTATGCCTGTCTTTACCTAACTTATCATGTTGATGCAGTGCCTCTCCCTTGCCTGTGTAAAATGCAGCCTAGTTTCAAGTAACAATACCTCCTGAGCTTTAATTATCAACTCAGCCTGTCAACTTGACAGAGTTTCCCTGTGAAAAGTTGTTTGACCCAGTGGCAGCTGCCTGCAGAGGAGCCCAGCCGACAGTTTATGTCAGCGTAATGATAGAATAGCACAATGTTCCAGCACCGCCAAATAAATGTAATACTAAAATTTTAGAGTCACCGAAAAACTATTATCAAGGTTCTCTATTAGGCTGTGATGGAGCCAGCCATAACAAGCACCATTAGAGATATACTAATGGAAATACTCTGTTTATTTGACACAATATTGGTACATTATTCTACGAAGAACCAGGACACATGTGAGACAAATTGTCCTTGTTTCCCCAGCAGGCTTGTAATACATGGTAATCCCTTCATGAATTGAAAATTAAGACGCTACATATCCTGTCTACAGGCACTTTCTAACTCTACTAAGTTAACTTGCATACCTTATAATTACCTTATGACCTTACATTATTATAATATGGTTCAGGATCTGGCTGCTGGCCTGAAGCTGGTAGTTCCTTACATAAGCAGTAAATTATCATATATCCAGTTTAGAGCCAGAGGAAGAAGCTCCATATCTTACTTTTTTCCCTGTTCAGAAAGCAAAACCTCAAGGGTTTCTATCATTTAAGCCTCAAACCAGCCTACTAATTATTCTCTTCACTTGTTTCTGTGTCTCTAGGTTGTGCACGGCCACCCGGCGTGCAGCACGGAGAACTGCTGAACCAGACCGAAGCTAACCGGGGCTCTTTTCCCCCGGGCACCCTCCTGACTTATGGCTGTGGGCCTGGCTACACTGCAGATGGACCCACCAGCATCATTTGTACCAGCTCTGGAGCCTGGTCCCATCAACCTCCACGCTGCATCAGAAGCAACGGTGAGCAAGACTCAAAAATCATACATGCAACACACAAGAACACAATTTAGTGTTTCCTGATGGTTTGTTTTTAATACAATTTAAAGTTTTTAATGTCGATTCTTTCCAGCCTGTAAAAAAAAACAACCTTATTATAGCTAGAATGATCATGAAATGTCAGCTTTATAAACGTATAATTATAAACTTATTTGCACTTAACACGCACAGCTGCATCAAAGCTGAAAAATCACATCAGTTCAGTATCACACAGTATCATAACGTCAATTGTGAGGATTGTCCTTGAGAGCCAGCAGGGAACACTGGGAAATTTCACCCAAAATATGAGCATTTAAACCACAGGAATCAAACCTGACCACAGGTAGAAATAATGCCAAACACATTTTCAGGTACACAACAGCCAAGATTGTTAAAGTTTCTATTGCCTCTTCCCAGTGTGTTCGCCCCCCACTGAACCAGAGAACGGGGGCTACCGCTGTCACCCGTCTCCCTGCCACCGCCTCACGCAGAAGACCGTCATCGAGTACTTCTGCGACGAGGGCTACGCTCTGAAGGGCGACTACAAGTTCCTCACCTGCCAGAACGGCGAGTGGGACGGTCCCATGCAGATAAGCTGCCGACTCACACAAGGTCAGTCACCTCAACAAAATTTGACTTATATGTATTATATCACAACCTATATCACAACCATCTCTGAACCACATCTTCACTTCCTCTCTGTCTCCTTGTGTCCCTCAGACAAGGAGCCAAGCTCTCCGCTGGGTATACCAGCTCTGTCTATTGTGGCATCCACAGCTAGTTCTGTGGCACTCATCCTGCTTTTAGTGGTGCTGTTTGTTCTTGTACAGCCCAAACTCAAGTCCTTCCATCACAGCAGGTAAGAAACACATACAGAGAAATTAACAGAAATTAATTAATTGATGATCCCTTGGCATTAGATCTTGTGCTGACATAATTGGTCTCTATCTCATGCTAACAGTTATTAGTGCTGCTGTTTATGAAAACTACTTTGGTTGTTTTGTCAGTTCTGTTTTGATAAGACTTAGTTGCCATGTCTATCATAGAGTTACAATGTGGTACCACAACAGATTTGAAGTGTAAAAAGCTTTGAGTTGCACTTTGTGCAGACATTTCGAGCTGTTAAATGTATTTTCTGTGAGATGCTCTGATCCTCTGTTGCTTGCTTTAATGGACTCCATTTTAAAGTTCTTCCCCAGATCACATAAATAAAATAGGTCAATAAAGTGTCATGCATTTAGTTTTCTTCTTGGCTTTACTAGAGGGTGAGCCTTTCACTTCTTATACAAACTGTGGTTGGCAGAAACCCTTGAAAGCTGTAGTTGTGTTTGCTTTGGAAGAAACTTATTTGCTATTAGTCCTTCCCTTGGACACACCTATGATTCATTCAAGTTTTGGTTGAAACAAGTTGTCTACGTAAGATGCACCAGACCTAGCAACTAGTTTTACAAGTTTGCATCTCTTAAATACTTGATAAAATGAAAGTAAAACTACGAAAAAGGAGTTAATCCTATCACAGTCTAAACGCCTCTGCTGTGGCTCTGTGATAAAAAGGCCAGCATGATTTGATCTAATGCTCATTGGCACTCTTGTTGATTGTGTAGTGGGCCTGAGGGCTTAGTGCAGCCTGCTATAAAGGGATTGTACAGTCAACGCTAATCACCTCTTCTCAGAGGTTCTGCTGTGGCACGCAACACACATGACTGCATCATGCCTTCATCAACCTGAGCCTGGTGTCGTGATCCACCTTGTCCTCACTTGTATTTCTGTCAGCCTCACTCTGTCTCTTCGTCCTTTAGGAGGGAGCAGGGAGTGTCAGGCCAGCCCAGCTCCATCATGGTGGAGGGTGTCCAGGTGACGCTGCCCTCCTACGAAGAGGCTGTATATGGAAGCAGTGGACCCTGTGGTGCTTCCGGTCCTCCTCCGTCACCACCACCTCCGCCAGCTCCTCCAGAGTCTCGAGTCCCGATCGTGCTCTCTGAGGGCCTTCCTCAGGGAGCCACAGGAGGCCAAGGCCCCAGCAGAACCCGCCACCACAGAGACTTAGACTTCTGTCTCCCATCCACGTCCTCGTCATCATCCTTCTCCTCCCGCCGTCATGCAGAGACGGTGCTGGTTCATCAGGCCCCCTCTTCCTCTTCTTCATCATCATGGGCTATAGAGCACCCTGGGGGTGCATGCGCAGGCCCCCTACCGCTCCGTAGAGACTCTGAGAGTAGCGACCAGCACAGTCTGCTTTCTGTCACCTCTACGGATGAGTTTGCTGATGGTAAGAGAAAACAGTCCATGTTATTTCACACATTTGCTTTATAATGAAGAACCCGATAAACACATACCACACACCATTTTTGTTAGGAATCCATTAACTGTCTTAATCTAAAGAATTATAACCAAGGTTGAAAAATAAACTTTGGTGGACAAAAACTCATCTTGCTGACATATACAGTATGCAGTGAGTAAAATCTGTGGATCTATTTTGGTCTACTTCCAACAGCAAGGCAGACAAAGTAGACTAGGGAAGACAAAAAACACCTGTCAAGAGTAATTTAATTTGCCAACATAATCAATACTTTGTAATAGAAATGTCACCCCATTTTCAGTGTTATTTGTTGTATAGACTCTGTTCAAGACATTTAGTAAAAGCAGGTTGAATTAAAAGCTTGTACTCTCTGTATTGGATTACTTTCAGAATTAATCATAAAATAACACATTTGAATACATTCACCTAAACTTTTCAAAACAGTGAGAAATCTCACAGATTTTGTGCAGGTTAGTATTACAAATAGCCAATTAGGAGCCTGTTTAATACAACCTGTTGTTTTATTTGTTAAGATCTCAGTAAGAATGTGTGCAGTAGACAATAGGGACATATTGTGACCTAAACAAACAGGAAATCTGGTTGCACTGAAATGTTTTTGGTGACGTAATGGATTGCATGACTTTGTGGCAGGTAGACAGCTGACTCTAGAGCCCCTGCTCTACTCTGATATATCTGTTCTCTTCCCCTGCAGATATTCCCCTGTTGAAGGAAGCATGAAGCCTGCCAGCCTGCTATCAGCATCAGCAGCAGAGCCCCTCTTTCCCTATCTCTCACTGCTGACCAGGACTGACTGTGACTGTCAACCTACTTCCCCCGACTCCCCTCAGCAGCCAGCAGAGAAAAGACTAGAACTACGCCCATTCCCCACGCAACCTCTTCTGCCATTACTATCCATGCAGAGCAAAGCCAACAACCAATACTCACTGCATCATAAGCAATGATGGAGCACCACTGGAGCCAGCTGCCGGAACAAACTAAAGACAAGCCAGACACAAAGTGGTGCCAGCTCAACATAAATCCTGTAGATCCTATGTATATGAGTAAAACATACCTACTGGTCTGTGTACTATAGGCTATGTATTGCTATACACTTGCCTCCTCCCAGGTGTAGTTCTCTATATTAACATGGCTCACAGAGGCTTCATCGGAGAAGGCTATAGCAACACCTCGACTCTGTTTGGGATTACTTCTGATAAAAAAAAAAAAAATAAACAACTTGTGATGTTTGCTCCTGACGCTGTGGCGCTCGGAATCAGAATCGTCTTCCCGCTGTACTTGAAAAGTTGTGAGTGACGGCTGGGTTTTTTGCAGCCCGCTTTGTGAATGCTGCATGTTGTTATTAGTTATTGCTGTCCCAGCACGGTGGCCCACTCTGAATGAAGCATGAAGCCTCCTCTGTCTCTCTCTCTTACTCTCTCTCTCTCTCTCTCTCTCTCTCTCTCTCTCTCTCTCTCTCTCTCTCTCTCGCTATCTGTGTATCCGGGTGGCGTCTAGCATATGGATTAGTGGGATTGAGAACCACTTCACACGAGCTAAAAGCAGGGTGCAGCGTTTTACGAAGCACCGTATCACAACTATAAAAAGACCTGCTCCTTTCCCTTTTTCTGTTGCCAGCTGCACCCAGTATCTGAAAGGTGCTCCTTCTGTTACATCAGTGGGATTTGATCTGTGTTGTGGTTCCAGAAATGTGCTATACATCTTACCTGTATAAGGAGAGCGAGATGTCACATTTTGTGTCTGGAAGCTGAGGAGGGGGGTTGTCTTTCAACATGGTGACTGGGCACATAACTGAATTTTAAGGTTTTAATTTTTTCCCACACTGTATTTATTGTTTGGTGTGTGGCTTTGAGTTGCTGAATCTGAGTGCATGTGTGTCTGTGTGAGTGTGTGTGCGTCTTTGTGTGTCAGCTAGGCTGGAGATGACATATCTTCATGTGGTAGGCCTCCACACAGCCACTATCACTGATTTGCCTCTCTTCAGATCAGAGACCGGCTTCACAATGTCCCTCTCTTGCGCCATAGGAAAATATCCCTCCCAGCACTGAATAAGTCACATGAACAAACCAGCGTCACTTCAGTCAACGAGTCCACTACACAATGTGTGTATTATTCATCTCCTCTCAAGCTAGAATATTTATCATTTTCTGCTGAATGGCTGGAAAACACAAGTCTCCTTAGAGGAACTGGCTCTCGACCACCTTCACACTGTACCGAAGACTCTCCACTTTTGTGCATTATTGACCCAACTGCAACTGGTTGCAGTGAAATGATAAAGTTTTGTTATAAAGCACCCAACCCCCGCCACACACACACACACACACACACACACACACACACTCCCCCTCCTAAAGCCAAGTGCAAATTTAAAAGAGAATCATGTTATTTTGTGAGAAATCATCCTCCGTTTTCATTGCCACTTGAAAAGCTTTTGGTGGTTGAGCTGGTCACCCTGGAAACAGCATGACTCCGAAGGATCCTGAGAATTACTTTTCAAGCTTAACTGCTCTGAAAAAAGAAAAGAAAAACAGAATAACCCTATTGGATTTCTGTTCTCAGTTTTATTTGGTATCTGTGGCTGCCTGTCATTGTCAACGGCTACATTATTAATGCAAACAGAATGTTGCCTTAGACTTGTACATTTTCTTTTTTTTTTTTGGGATGTATAATCTTAAGCCTCTGCGTTGGTTGCTTTACAGTATTGCAACGTGTTCTGTTTTCCCAATGGCCTTACTCTGTTCTTTTCTATTCTATGCATAAAACTGTCTTTGTGTATTTATCAATGAGTTTACTTTTGTTGTGGACACGACTAAACGAATGTCCATCCTTCTCTGTCCTCCCCTAGCTTTTCCAGCTACTGTGATGATGATGATGATGATGATGATGATGACGATGATGATGAACCTATAAGCACCTATATTTCACTATTCCTTTGCTTCTCTTTTGCTACAAGGCATTAAAATATTATGGGATTGAAAAGAAAAAAAACCTGAAAATGAATTTTGCGTTCAGAAGCACTGTTGTACGGTGTTGCTTCCCTGAAAAATAACAGGTTAAAAAAAGTACACATCTTGATTCTTAGTTTCAATGCTTTCAGCTTTGGTTTTTTCCTCTGTACATGGCAGTGGGTGTGAAGATAGTAATTTAATATTTGTATAAAGTTTAATTTAATTTTACAGTGTGTATATAACTTTCTAATTAAAGCTTTCTTTTGAATGTGGAAGATGATGTCTCATTATTTTAACCCATGTCAGACTGTTGTCCCCGTTACTGTGTATAATCCTTGGATGAGAACTGACTTTCAGTACACATTATCAGACTGAAAGTTGCATCTACATCAAATGTCAAAACATTTCCGGTACCTATAAAGCATGAAAATGTGTATCTGCTTGTATGAGTTAAAATAATATGATTCCATAGTCCTCTGGATTAGATCCTGGAAGATCTGAACCTTGTTTGCATGTAGAAATCCTGCTCCTGTTTATCGGCTTTAATATCTGCAGTAGCTGCTATTTCTAGTTTCACTTTAAACCCTCTGCATGGGTTGGTTCGTCAGCTCCTTCAGTTCAAACTCAAGTCAATAATTTACCAATCTAAGGTTTTTATGTTACTCTTGGTTAAAGGTTGTCTAGTTTATTATAACTGATTCATAACTACTTCCTGAATTCTGCTGCTGTGTTTGATGAGACTGCAGAATGACCTGCCCGAGGAGCTTAGCTCTCTTTTAAGCCGCAGTATCTTTAAAATTCTCAAAACCAATTTTGTATGCTCGCAATTACGAACAAAGGGTTCTCTCTGGCTCAACTCGTGGTTCGTTATAATGTGCTCAGTCCTGCTTTTACACTGGTTTTTTTTGCCGCTGAGTCCTATTATTAAGCGATAGTTTCGGTACAGATCGATCCTCCCTATCGGTGCAGTATCATTGTGTCTGAGTGACACCTAGTGGTTAGAATTAGAAACTGCACTAGCAGACACTCGGCGGATGCGTGACGTCATGTTCGGAAAACTCAACCGCCGCACCTCGGGTTTTTCCGTCAGTGCGCTGTTAATTTCTTCAACTTGGACTTTATAAACACATTGTTTTTTTTTTTACAAAAACAATAAGACAATGCGTTTTGGGAAAAAAAACAAACAATACTGATATACTGAACAAATATCACAAATTAAATAAAAATAACTACTAACGTGAATTCCAGAAGATGGCGGTAACGGGCGCCAACTGCCGTTAAAACTCGTAGAAGAAGGGGCAACCTCCGTTATGTGCCCCCTCCCCGATCAGCAGAGGCTCCATTTTGTTTGATTCTGGAGTTTGCGGTCACTGTCGACAGTCAGCAAAGGAAATACCACCTAAAGGTACGTGTACAGCGACTGAAATCCACCTTAAAGTCATAATGCTGTTGTCGTTTTGTTAAAGTAACCGTTATCTGTCGTGTGTAAGTATCGTTAGTGAAAATTAACTCGCCAAACATGGCTTGGTAAAAAATTTGGTAGCTAGGCCCCGACATACTGGCTAGCTCGCTACAGACAAAAAAAAATAGGGCACTTGTGACTTCGACGTTGTCGGCTCGTTATTTATCGTTTTCTTTTAAACTGTGTTGGCTAAATCTTTACAGTAATAACGTTAATGTGTCTACTTCTGTTTGCAGATAACCTAACGTTACTAATCACATCAAAAATGAGCGGATGTCGTATTTTCATCGGCCGTCTGAGCCCATCTGCCAGAGAGAAGGATGTGGAGAGGTTCTTCAAAGGATACGGCCGCATCCGAGATATTGACCTCAAGAAAGGCTTTGGCTTTGTGGTGAGTCCTGGAAAAGAGGTCATTGTGTTTAATATGCCGAGGATGTTGCCCGATTGCATTCAAATATATGGTATTTAATAGCTAGCTTCACGCCAACAGACCCTGTTATTCAGATTAAGGCTCTGTGTTATTTAGCGTACATTCACAGTAGCGTACATTTACGGCCTTCATTTTGTTCCGTATCCTGTGTGTAGACACACCTACACAGCAAAACGACCCGTGTGGACCTGTTTGAAATCCACAAGTGCTTCCTGATGGGGCTTTCTGCACAGCATATTTATTGCCAAAGAGCTTTTAGAGTTGAAGCTGTGTCTCAGTAACATGTGACATACCATCGGACAGCATTTAAACCCTCGTTGTTATAGATTGAATTTTGCCTTTCGCCGTCCAGCTACGCGTACTAACCGGCAACATTTAAGTCTTTTAGAAATGTTTTTAAATGTATTTAAAATCCTTAAATTAAATATCTAATTTGCGTACATAGTCAGATCCTTTTGATATGGCAGTCATTCACAAATTGACAGTGGGTTCTTTAGCATCCTGGAAAACCTGGATATTAATAGACTCATGGAAAATATTATTGTATTGTTGCCCCTCAGATTGCCAGTGTTAAACCTAGTTTAAAGGAAAGCTGCAGAAAAATCGTCTGTGCTGAGCTAGCTAGTGTCCCGTAACCTGTAATGAACATGCGTCACTTCATCGCGAACCCTGCATCATTATTAAAGGAGGAATAAGACTTGGAAAATGTATAAATACTAGGCCTACTGGTGACTTGTATGACCATTTGTGTGCAAGTACTGTTCATTATTGTCTAGAAAACTCCTGGGAAATGCTCTGGAATAGTCCTGGAAAATGATTTATTAAAAATGATGGGAGCCCTATTCCTGTTTGCTACAATTGTTCTTAAGCAATCTGTAGAAGTTTTGATACATGTGGGGGTGATGGATGCTATTGTGTCACAATGTGATGTACAAAAGGACTGGAGGAGAAGCGTCACACAAAGTAAAATTAAAACTAATTGTTAGTTAAGCAACTCCGTGATCAGTATGGAATTGGGTCAGTCATTTTCTGCTTTGTATGTGTGGTTTTTGTTTTTTAAGCTGAGGGAAGAAAGGCTGTACTACCATCTTTATAATAGTTAGATACTGTTCTCACACACGAATAAGTGACGCAAAAAAGGCACAAAGGTTAAGTGATGTTGGTTGTCCTGTTTATTGTAGGAGTTTGACGACCCAAGAGATGCTGAAGATGCCGTTTATGAGCTTGATGGCAAAGAGCTGTGCAATGAAAGGTAGGAGTTTCTATTATGGCAAATGTGCTGTAAACCAAAAATGTGAATGAACTGAGTTTGAGTTTTCCTCTCCACCTTGCTTTCCTGTTTCCATGGTGATTGGTTATTTTAAAAGAATAATTAGAAAACCTTTTTTTCCTGTAATTTCAGGGTGACCATTGAGCACGCACGTGTACGTCTGCGAGGAGGCCGTGGCAGAGGAGCTGGCGGCGGAGGAGGACGTTTCTCTGATCGCTATGGCCGAGGCTCCCAGAGCAGTCGGAGGTAACAATAAAAATTGACACCGCCCACAGATTTGGTGACCACAGTTCACTCCACGGCATTAGCATTATAATGGGAGATGTAGGAAGGGACACATGTAAATGAATAGCCTTAAAAGGACATTGTATTAACGTTATTTGGTGAAAGGTCAAGGATTTTAAATTATTTCAGTCCCTTTCTACTCGCTACTGTTGGTGTCCATGTTTCTTTTTTTCCTGTTGTAATTAATTACCTACAGACTGGGAATGTTCGACAGCTTACTTAAAATGCAGCGAGCACAGGACTCGTCTGTGCTCGCTGCATTTTAAAGATCCTTGACATGAATTAGCCTTGCTATTGACAAGTAGCTAATGAGATCTCTTAGGCTCGGTGCTAAAGGCTGTATCTCAGCCCCACAATATTATTGTTCAGTTGATTGAGTCTATTTTGACTTTTTTTTTTTTCCTTTTCAGTCGAAACCCTCCTCCGATGCGCACTGAGAACCGCCTGATCGTGGAGAACTTGTCCTCTCGTGTCAGCTGGCAGGTTAGTATTGCCACATGTTTTTTTATGCACAGCAAGTCTCTAAAAGCTGCAACACCACAAATGTTATCACCTCCAACAGTCTGCTTCCAACAATATACACATACAATTGTAGAATTATAAACTGCTAAAAACATAGAAACTCTGTCTCTGGAATCAAATCAATTGCTAATTTCTAGTAAACAGTCAGACTATTTTACTGTGAGGCCCAAATTGTTCTTTAATAAGCACCGCTCTGATTAATCTGCATCTCATGCAGTTAAGTAATAACTCAAAGAGCAGTAACAACAACAAAACACTTTGTTTCTTTTTTTTTTCAAATTTTAACCAATTCTTCACCCCTTTATTTGCCAGCCTGACTGTTGTGTCATATGGAAGAGCTCGCTTATGGTGGAGTTAACCCCTTCTGGGTCCTTCTGTCTGGGTTGAGCCTGTGGTGTCAGCCAGTCTGTCCTACTCCTAGTTGATGCCTGCTGGTCATGTGAGCGCTCGCTCCACACTAGAGGCGCTGGCGGCCCCTTCGCTCGCAACACCCCCTGTCGAAGGCAGGGGGGCGCCTGGTGTGAGGCTGAGAGCGAGAGAGAGGAAACAGAGAGTTGGCAGAGAGAAAGGAGAGGAAAGAGCGAGAGTCGATGGTGATGGTGGTGGCGTATTGATCGATGGTTCGTTAATTTGAGGGGCTTCGATCGATCGATATCCCCCCTCCCTTCCCCCCTCTGGTGTTCCCGCACATCGCGAGCGAGAGAGAGTGTGAATTCCTCCCAGGTGCCCATGGATATAATCTGCTGTTATCCCGAGGTTATGGTGGGCTCGGAGAGCCTGCGGCCCACCCCAAAGGGTTTCGCTCTCAGGTAGTAGTTTCCTCTCTTCCACCCTGTTCACTCTCTTTACTGAGGCGGGGTGCCGAGACAGGGGCGGTCCCGGCGCGGAGCCCTGTGACCTCCTTGCCAGGGAAAATGGGGCTCTTAGTGCCAAACGCTGCCCAAGCGGTGCCACTGCAGTTCAGTTCATGCAGATGGTGTTCATGTCTCTTTAGTTATGAGCAGTGGGTCCAAGAATCTCTAAGCTGGAGCCAATACTCAGCCTGTAATTGCAAATGTCAAAAAAATTGGTTGATCTCTAAATTGGCACGCATTTGACCTTTTCGTTTTCTAAGGTTCTGTATTTGTCTTGTAAAATAGATTATGTTGAATGGCTGATAAAACAGTATGTGAAGTTCTTGGACTCATCCTCTTGGACTCATCTGCAGTAGCCTGTGTAGTCCTCTCAGAAAATCTAACCATCTCTCTTTTTGGGTAAATCAGTCCAGTTTTATGTCTCTGCCTGTGTCCCGAGCCTCTCCGTAAGTTGACTGATGTTTACATGTGTAGGACCTGAAAGATTTCATGAGACAAGCTGGAGAGGTGACATTTGCAGACGCACATCGCCCCAAGGTCAACGAAGGGTAAGACCATTATCATCTTGTAGGAAAACTACCATCCAGTTTCTGTCAAAAAGCATATCTAAGATAATTAATGACTAATATTGTCTCGTGTTTTTACAGGGTTGTTGAGTTTGCCTCTTACAGTGATCTGAAAAACGCCCTTGAGAAACTGTCTGGAAAGGAAATGAATGGCAGGAAAATCAAGCTCATTGAAGCAGCCAAAAAGAGGTGAGTTGTCTGCTGAAACCTCCATTCAGTAAAAGTCAGCTGATTGTGGCTGATTTTAAATTTAAAACCTATAAGAGAGATCAGTCTTTAGGCTGAGAGAAAGCAGATGAGGAACAATGTTAATGAAAATAAAAATATATAGAGTAGATTTTTATGACCTTTTTGACTATATAAATAAATTACACAAATACTTGTGCGAAATAAATCCAGTAGTACAACTCTGGCCATGAGCTGTGCTGTGTGTACTTTACACTACAGAAATATAGTTAAACCGTATCCTGATGCTATTCTTCTTTCTGTTTCCCAGGTCGAGAAGTCGTTCCCGGTCTGAGAGCTCCTCTCGCTCACGGTCCCGTTCCCGTGGTCGATCCCCATCTCGCTCCCCCAGACGGTCCCGCAGCCCCGCCAAGGCCCACAACCGCTCTCGCTCTCGCTCCCGCTCCCGCTCCCGCAGTGGCTCCCCTGCTGGCGGTACCTCATCCCCAACCCCCAAATCAAAGGAACCCGCTAAGCGGTCCTCCAAGACGAGCAAATCCGCCACTCCGCCCTCCCCTCGGCCGGCTCAGAGAGCCTCTGTCTCTCGTTCCCGTTCCCGTTCCCGCTCTCGCTCCCGCTCCCGTTCTCATTCTACTGACAGCCAGCGTTAAAGGCTGTGTTTAGGTTAAACCAATCATCAGTAGGAACAACTTGTTTCAGCAGTAGAATCCGCTCGGATGAGTTGGCACACTGGAGCTCCCACGACCCCCTCTGAAAGCCGAGAGAAACCTTTTCCTCGAGCAAAGTTTGGTTTTTCCTCTCTGGATTGTTGTCATAACTATCAAGTTTTTCACATTAGAACACAGATACGTTGTCAGACAGGAGCAATGGTATTAAGTCAAATATTTTATTGTCACAATAGGGCATTTTTAAATCAAATAACTTAAACAGAAGACACTTGTTGCACAGAAATGCTGTTTGTGTCCTCCCGCTCATTACCCTTAAAACGTTTGGACCCATATGTATGTTTACACCCAGTGACTGCTCACCTCTGAATTTATTCATCCAACTAGGCTGCAGGTCCATCACTGGTCCAGCACCTTCTGTTTCATTTCACAAAATCACCAAAATGCCCAAGCCTCACTGTTGTTGGGCCTGTAAAGTTAGAAATCTCTACACTTTGAAAAAAACTTTGAAGAGGGAATCAGTATTTTTCAGCAGTACTAGGATGATTTTGATAAGTCGTGTGACCACTTTCTTTACTTTTTTGCAAATACCTCTGCTTGTTTTTGCCTGTCAGTGGGAGAATTTTTAATCACTTTTTACATATTTGTCCAGATCACCCACGTATTCCAAGTCCTTTCACCTCTTTTCCCTTATTTTCTGACCTACTGTACCTGCCACAGCTGTGTATGTGATCTCTATATCTTAGACTGCTTGCATGTGCTTTTGTTTGATCCAAATTTACTTACTATCAGAAATATTTTATTTGTGCTTGAAGCTCAAATACAAACCACCGTCAGAACTGGCATTGGCAGCTTCAGTATCAAGAACACTGTACAGTTATGCACATTGTTCCAGCAGTTGAACAGCTGTACAGTAAATTTCATAAATCTTATGTTTTCTTGCAGTTGACTGTTAAAACTTTGAATTTGTTGGGAGTTTTAATACTCTACCTTGGGGATAAAGTCAACACTTTAATTTCAACATTTTTTTTTTTTTTGTTTATTTGTAGGGTTTTGTGTACAGCATTGCAGACTTTTGTTTTTTCATAAGTGTAAAGTTATTCCAAGAATACTTGTCGGTACTGTGACTGATGTTAGACTTTGGAAAATGCAACATTTTTGTACATAGGGATTTTATTTTCAGTGGAAAACATGATGGACGTTTGTATGGTGTAGGAAGACAGTGGACTTAATTAAACAATAAAACAGTTTTAACTAAATCATGAATGTTGTGTTCATCAGTTCTGTTTAATTAAATGCTTACAAATAAATGTACAAGCTGTCGATTCATAATGTAATTAAAGGAAATACTTGCAGTCTCTCAAATGACTTTGCACAAAATGGCTGCAGTTTTAAGTCTTTTCCTGTTTCACGTAGTGCAGGAGCTCTCTGTCTCCACCAGGCTCAGCAAGAGTTCACAGTGGTAGAAACAAATTGGGATGCATTTGAGATCCATCCTTCATACATTCGTATCCTCAGAGGGCGCTTTCGGCTTATTTTCAGTGTTTGCAGGCTGGTATTTCTCTGTAGGCCGGACACACGAGTGGGTTACAAAGGTGAACAATTTAATAAAAATGAAGCCTTCAGTTAATGCAACAGTCAGGCCAAATTAATCAAACATGAATTTCTGACCGGGGTTGGTCAGTCCAAACTGAAATATCTCAACAAATATTGGCTGGATTGCCATCAGATTTTATACAAACATTCATGGGCAACCCCTGACTCTCTTTGTACACCCTGTGGTGGTGCTGGTATATTGTCCTTCAATGTGTTGTGAGTAAATCCCGCACCAGTCCATATTAACCAGGTAATATAACCTCAATTCCTAGGTTGAGCTACAACCAAGAATTATTATTTAACTATTGGGGCTTTTTTTTGTTTTAAGTTTTTAATAATTTATATCAGCGGTATCAAGGTATAATTCCTATCACAATGTCTCTGAACACAAGGTGAATATAGCTTTTTTTTGTCAGATAAAGTGTTCAAAACACAGACATAATTAACAATTACTCAAAACAGAGCAAATCCAATATTTAAAGACGCTGCAACTAGAATACAGTTTGCATCTATCTTTAATTATTAATCAATCAATACTGCCTGCAATTAATTTTCTGTCATCATTTCACCACTACAATTAATCACAGATGAGCTGTAATTTCCTGTGTGACACAACAAACAGCTCCACACGGTCTCTAAACATTAACCCTTTAAGAGCCCTGGCGTCAGTCCTACCTTTCTTCCTGAGTGTGATCCATTGGTGACACCTGAACAGCACGATGAGGACCAGCGCCTCCAGCAGCTGGAAGGACGCGTACACCAGGGGGAACAGGAACAGAGGGCCGATCATCGCCTGAGGAAAGGCCACCTTCAGGATGGTGGAGCACAGCTGGATGTTCTGACAGCCCGTTTCCATAGCAACCGTCCTCCGCTCCCTGAGGAGGGGGATGGACACACAGAGTCGAGCTATTACTATCTGTCAGAGCTCGAATTTAACCGAACAACTCTCCGCCTGACTCACGATTGGTTGAGTTGGAAGAGAGAAGAGATGATGTATCCGAAGGTGTAGCCTATGAGGGGCATGAGAAAACCGATGGCCATGAGGGGAAGAGACAGCACAGTGAGGATGGAGCCTCCGATTCCAATGCTGGAGAGGATGCCGACCACCACAACGGCAATCATCAACATAGTGAGGCCTGCCTGAGAACAGCAGCAGGACGAGACACATTAGACTGTAGATTCATTAGCCTTTTATTTGGTTTCTGTGTTATTATTAGAGTTAGTCTGGGGATATTTCTGTATCTTATTCTCAAGTATTGTCTGTGATGCAGAGCTTCACATAGACTCTCCTGCTGCCAAGAATGGAAATTAAAGTATTTACTGAATGCACTGTGGACTTCTGTATGAGTAATATTTGGTAAAAACAACAGTTCCAGCTCTTTTTAATAATTTTTTTATATTATTTGACTACATTTGTCTCTAAAATGTAAAAAAAAATAAATTAAAAAGGTCTGTTGTGACAGAAAACACAAAGTCCAAGTCAGTGTCTTGAATTAGCTTGTTATGTCTGACAAACTGTCCAAAACTGAAAAGAGAAAATCAGCAAATCATCACATTTGATAAGCTGGATCTGACATTTTTGTCTATTTTTGTTTGATAAAGTACTAAAACAATAAATCAGTTTTATTCTACAAACCATGAATCAACATTGTTTCAGCTCTACAGTGATCTCATCTAGCCTTCTGACCCTCGTGTGTATTGCACCAACCTTCTTGATGATCTTGGCGTACTGCGGCCTGTAGTAGTTGATGAGGATGCCTGCGGCGCAGGGAATGAGGATCATGACCAGCGCTATAATGATGTCAACGTAGGGCACGTAGTTCTGCACGTCATGGAAGCCCTGACAGTAGAGGTAGAGCAGCAGAGGCATCATGCCCAGAGCCATCACAGTGGACGAGCAAGTCATCACAATGCTGGGGGGGTAAAGACGGGCAATAATGTTTATTTTGATAACACATAAAATAAGATATAAAAGCAATGTTTGATTACGTCGATATCACAATATGTCAACTTTGTAACCCACACCAGAGACCATATCCTTAGTTTGTTGTTCCAGCATCCCACCAGATAACATTACCTCTGCTCAACTAGCAATCTCAACTGTTATTCAACATCAACCAGTTAATCAAAGGTGCATTGTATCATATCATACCACAATATCAGACATCAGACGGTTTCATCAGTTTAATTACCTTGAAGCCGGTTCCTGCTCCAACCCCCTCGCTCCTGGAGCTAATGGCCTGCTAGAATGGCATTTTATCTTCTGCATTTGATCCTCTAGCCCCAAAACTGCATCTTTTTAACCAAGCTCACTCACTTTAACTGCATCTGCACATATTTTATACTAAAATATCAATTTTTAACTCATTCCTGAGCTATGCTGTGTTGCTTATTGCATTTCTTACAGTTGATTGATGTTGTATTATCAGTGCGTTGTGTTTTATTGTGTGTTGATACTCTCTGATGTTAGGCAACCTTGAGAGCAATGACGGTGGAATGAACACTGTAGTTGCCTCAGGGGCATGCTCAGACATTTTGAGGGGCTGTTGCTCTAGCCTGGGAAACCCCCTGATGGAATGGGATGACTAATGGGATGCCTTGTGTATGTAAAAATCTCCATATCTGCATCGCAACAATTCCCAGCTTGTCAAATTTGCAACATGTCGCACGGTATTGCCTTATTTTATGCTACAGGCATTGTATAATAGCATAATATAAAGAAATATTACACAACAAGATGCAAATGCGTCAAAAAATAATAAAAGCTCAGCTCAGCCACAGAGGGCAAATGTTGCTCAGGAAGCCCGGCCTTGAGCATGTCCTTGAGTCTCCAGGTGCCGCAGGTTGGGCGTCCGAATGCAGGTATGAATATTTTCATTGCAGTTGTATTACAAGAGGCAATCTGCCAGCCAATTGTTACAAGGCTTATTGCCCTCACACTACCTATTTTATGACAGTAGCTGCATGATACTGTCACCTTTACACACCAATAATTAATTCTGTGAAAAGTCACAACAAAAGTAATTTTGAATGTGCCTGTAAATTAAAAATAAAAATACTGTATTATAATATTTGTATTCTGATTTGTTTATGAATATTTGTTGTGGTTGGTCAGTTGCCACCACTAAAACAAAAAACCCTCATTTGCCGCCAGCAGCAGATCCTCATCAACACAGACACAACACAGAAATAATTGGCTTATACAGTATTTGATATGGTACAGGAATCCAAGTATTGCATCAACAGATTCATCATTGTCTGAAGGAATCTGTGGGATTAGTTTTAGTCATTAGTGCCTCCATTAATGCCTCAAGGCATCCTGTCAGACTGTGCTCAATATCTGTAAACCAGATAAGATCCCCAGACATCAGATAGGACAGGAATGTCCTGAACAACACGCCACCATAATCTACACACCTGCTCCTTGGTGATTAGAAGGTGCCTAATAGGGTGAACAGCCCTGCGGTTGAAAAAGATTCCCCTGATCAGACTGCAGATGTCCTGCAGGTCATTCAACTCTTATAATGACAGGAAGTGTGGCACTTGGTATTAAATCACAGGATGTACTCTGATTGGCAAAGCATCATCAATTGTTTCATCAGGCTTGGTGTGTGTGTGTGTGTGTGTGTGTGTGTGTGTGTGTGTGTACCTGAGGTTCATGTCTCCCTGCAGAGCCAGAGCCAGGATGTTGGAGAGGCTTCCTCCAGGACAGCAGCCACAGATCAGAACCACCACAGCTGTGATTTCAGGCAGCTGGAACGCCTACAGCATGAAATGATAATATATTCATACAGTGTTACCGGTGTCTGTTACTCATAACAGTGTCTAACAGTGACACTGGCGCTGATCTGATGTTGATTAGGGAAATAAAATACTTGGAAATAAAGAAAATGGAAAGAGAGGGTTTGGTGTGGAGACAATGTAAACAAGTCAAAAAGATGAATAATAAATAACTTACACTGTCAGGTCTTCTATTACAACTACAACCATCTGTCTATAACTGTCTGTTAATGTTACTGTTTCCTCTTTGTATTGTTGGATTATTATGTTATCTTACTGCTCCTTTGTTGAAGATTTTCACTGACTTTGGACCATTGCAAGCAATGTTTTCTAAACATTAGGGCCGCAACTATCATTTATTTACATTATCGATCAATACTTTTCATTTAATCGACTATCACTTAGTTTGGAAAATGTCCAAAAGCCTAAATAAATTCCAGATCCTGTAGTTTGTGTTTCCAGCAGTCGAAAACCCTAATATATTACATTTACAATGACACAGAAAGAGGCAAATCCTTATTTTTGAGAGACTGGAACCAGAGAATCTTTCCTGATCACAAAAATCAATAAAAAAAACAAAACAAAACAAACAGAACTAAATTAGGTAAATACACAAATCATAATCTTGTTGTTATATAAAATAAATAATATCAGTACAAATATTAAATTGGTATAATCATGTACTGGTACATTCTTTTAGACTGCAGGAGGCCTCACAAGCCTCCTGTATAATAGATTATGTTTACTACAAGACATACCAACCTTAGCTAAGCAAAAGGCTGTAAGGGGCATGACACCATACTGGGCCAGTGCTGCTATCGCCACCCCCTTAGGTTTCAATATGTGATGCTGGAAAAGAAGGAAAAAGATGTTAATGTGATGGTAAAGACACCGATAATGTGTCTTCAAACGGATGGATATCACCTGAAGTCACCTTGATCTTCGACACCTCCATGGTGCATCCCAGTGAAACCATGGTGATGGTTAAGATGATGATCAAAATTATGTTGATGGTTTTGTCCATTACCGGTGACATCATAGGTGTATAAACAAAGCTGGTGTTAGCAGCCCTCGTGGTGAACAGGAAGCTTTCATTCTGCCACAAATCTGGATCAAAGAACAGATCCACTGTGGAGTCCATGGTGTCTTATATGTTGGAGCAGCGAGTTGTGATCTTAAAACAGAAACAGGCACAAACATGGGTTGAGTGAGTACAGATAATGTACGTAAACCTTTATTAAAATAGTTTTGTAGATAGTTCTCTTACTCTTGGGATCGAAAACATTGCTATGAAGCTCAATTCTGTAAATAGTTTTCTAATAAATATAGCAACTTCTGATCAACCCATATCGATTTCAACCTTAAATTACTTCAGATTAAGCACCACCCACGTCCGCTTTAAGCCCCGCCCATTTCACATACGGATACGAATACAGATAATTTAGTTGGTTGAACAGATACAGATAACGGTGTGCTCGCTCATCCCTTATGGTTGGAAAGTAAGACAGAGAGAGAGAGACGTAAGAAAACAGATTATGTGCTCGAATTGAGTCCACAAATGTAACCGCAATGATTTCAACGTTTCTTCAAGCTTCACAGTTTTTTCATTTCCTCATGCATCAGTTATGTACAACACCTCCACTGCTCTTTGTGATTAAAATAATCAGAGCATGACAAGAATTGAGCTGCCAGAAGAAAAAAAATCCTTTAGAGGGCTATGGCTGGGGGGACTGAGGACGTACTAACATGCAGTGGTGGAATGTAACTGAGTACATTTACTCATCTATTTTTTAAGGTACTTGCACTTTACTTTTATTTCCATTTTTCCATTTTCCATTTATGCTTTAATTTACTGTACATTCTCTTCTACACTAGATCTCAGAGGCAAATATTCTACTTTTGTCTCCATTTGTCTGATAGCTTTACTTACTTTTCAGATTATAAGTGTTCATACCCTCCAGTGAAAAACATATTACACAAACATCTCCCAATTTTATGATTTTGAACTTGAATGTTTGTGATAATCTGATTAAGTGCTCCTTTATGTGTGGATCTCCTACTTCTCAAGCTAAACAAACTATTATAACTAACTATAAAACTCTCTTGGATTAATTGGAGAATGCATTGTCACAAAGCTAAAATGCTGCTGTGCTCCTGAGCTCATGAAAAGTGTTTTAGAGATACGTGGTTTTCATAGGACAGATGATCTTGTATAATATGATGCATTGCTGTAAATTATACCAACCGCTAACAGCAGTCAAAATGCAACACACACATGACTGCAGCAGTAATACTGATCAAAATCATCATATAGATGATAAACTTACAGTCAATGAGAAGTCAGAACGTAAAGCCTCTGTCGGCTTTCTTACTGTTTTCTTCTCTGAGCTTTCTGCGTTTTCTTTGAAGTGTCAATTGTTTCTGAACGGGCTGAAAGGACTGCTGTTGTAGCGATAACAATGAGCACAATCTTTAAGTTCATAGTACACATTATATGGTCCTGAGAACCTTTAACCTACTACCCCATGTAGGGTAGTTGTACAATTTGAAAGACCTTTCCCAGATATTCATGACTGTTAAGATATTTTCACCCTGTATTTCAAAATTGTATCTTTTTGGTGAGATATCAAGACAATTTAAAAAAATAAAATACCCTGCAAGTTGGGAATAAATATAATTTGATAGACATTTGTGACTTTTTACATTATCAGAAAGGCACTTGAGATCTATCACCATAATAAGGCACCTGTTTGTTGTTGGTTATATAGTGTATATATATAGTACATGTAGGACAGCAGCATATAAACATTTAATAAATCACATATATAATGTAGACAAATTACAACTTCTCCTATTACGACACATTTTATATTACTACAGCTGTGTTTTACTATGCTGCCATTCATTCATCTGTTTATACACCAGCCTCCAGGTTTGGTATAACATCCACTGTCCGCAGGAGGAGCTTTAAATGCTTATATCTGTGTACAACTCCAGGGCAAGTTATTCTGAATCTGAGGAATGCCACAAAGGAAAAAAACTTAGAATATGAAAAGAAATCAAGTAATCTGGAGAAAACTCTGATTGAAAATGATCAAGAAAACCATGTTTAAATAAAAGTACCACATTTAAGATAAAAACAAAGTGTGTCCTGCTGTAGGTACAATCACGGTAAGTCAATTCCAAACACATTTACAATACCTTTTCCTAATTCACTTACACCTATTCCTCTTCAATATTTATAATTCAAAGAGAGAGTAAGATATAAGGTGTTCACAAATGTTTGACTGACAGTGTAGATAAATATATCTGCAGCAAGTCACCTAAATCTGGCTAATCTGTTAAAGAAGGAGGAAAAAACACAGAGCATTTGCTTTCTTCAAACCCCACTCTCCTTTGTGCTTCGATGGCAAGTGAACCTCCATCGCCAGAGTTGACAACCACATCCTCCCTACTGGCATGCTCACATGCTGTGTGCACACAAATTACTTTCACAGGATTTTTCTTCTATCTATCTTGCACTGATAAAAAGAAACACACACATTTGAAATAAGACACCACACAGCTTCATAAATGTGTCAGCTACACACTGACTGACTGTTCTGAAGGTGAGAATTGCACACCTATTCTTGGAGGTCACTTTGCACAAAATAGAAAAAAAACAACTGGATTCCCAAGAAACAAACACTTATTCCTGTGTAAAACTGACAGATTTGTGTGCAGCTATATTTTGTACTTTGTGTTACCTTTTGGGTAGGAGCTTCCTCTGCTCTTCTCTCCACTTCTCTCTGAAACAAAATATACTCCTTGTGTGTTGTCAATCTCTTTTTTTGTCAGTCACAAATGACATGTAAAGGCTACTGGTTGTGCAGAGCTGCCATCTAGTGCACAGTTGACTGCAGCTTGAGAAACACATGAGATCTGATTTACCTTTAGTGAAAAAGTCTGGTTAAGTCTGTTTTTTTGTGTTATTTCCGACCCAGTTCTGGTTGGTACTGACAAGATTTAAGTAGCCACGGCCTCAAACTGTTTTTGTTTTATCTTGTCACGGAATAACTTGTCTCACTTTGTGTTTCTGAGAATTCATCAGATATATTTGAAATATTTCTTTTTTTAAATGTTGACTTCAAGGAATCTTCTCTTGAGTGAGTTTCTGTATGGAAGAACGGACATCTGCAAGAGATATTTCTGATGAAGACCATCCTGCAGCGGCCGAGCCAGCCGTTATAAACATTCAGGGCTTAGACCAAACCTAGAGGGGGTCCGGGACCATGCTCCCCCAAGGGAATTTTTTTCCCCATTTATGGCAGTTGTGCACTATTTTTCAATCCAGTTGAGATAATAGGATGCCTACAGATCTGTACATCATGTGGGGAAATATATGTTTTACATAGTGCCGGGGAAAAAAATCATCCTGTAGTGTCTTCATCCTTTTTTAAATCTAATTGTTCTCCAGCTGTCTTTGTTATTCTAAAAACCAGAACACAACAAATGTTGAGGATGACAAATTTTCATTCCTGCCATTTTTTTTATTTTCAGGATTACATAGGTAGGGTATGGATTTGTCCTGAACAGCATTAGTAATCTCGAAAGCTATTTTTGTTACAATGCGGGAGTAGAGTTCATAGAATTAATGGTTAGCTGACAAATCTGCTACATGTGAGTCCATTGCCATAATGCAGTGATATTTCCCCAGTAATAAAACTTTTGCTCCAGTTACTTTCCACTTAAGTCAGAAAGAATGAAGGGAAATGAGTGAAGTTGAAGTTATTTTAGATGCCTAAAAGATTTGGGGCTTTTGAGGAAACATTCAGGGCTGGAGCCCCAGAAGCCACCCCTCTGCTCCGCCCCTGCTCCGCCCCTGCCCCAAAGCATCTGTTTGCCTTGTTTACTAGTAACCACAGTGTGTCACGGAGGGGGTAAGAGAAATATCTACAATATCCTCTTTGTCCTGTGAGAGTATAACTCATGTTGTTTGTTCTTATCTGCTGCAACTTAAACTGCAAAATTTTTTTAAATCATAATTTAAGAAGTAAGACAAAGGTTTAAAAAATCAGACCTGCTAGTGCTTCAATTTTTATTACATTTCACAATACAAAACAGTCGGATGGAAGAAAAACAGCAATTTTTCTTTTGCCCAAACAATAGAGAGGCTTAAATGCTCATTTTTGGGTTACCATTTACAGAAATATCCTCAATAAATCGTGTGGTCAAAGTGGTCATTTGCCTCAGAAGTTGGCAAGAGGGGAGCATTAACGGAGCAGTGTGTGTGGATTTGGAGCCATCTAGCAGTGAAACTATCAAAAAAACATAAAAGGTCCCATCAGGAGCCAGTGTTTGGTTTGTCCATTCTGGACTACTGAAACATCAGTTCAACATGGGAGACACAGAGGGACCTGCCTCTGTAGATAAAAACAGCCCATTCTAAGATAACAATGACACAATTTTTACTTTCAGGTGATTATAAACTAATAAAAACACACCTATTAATACTATATTCCATTTCTGCCAGTAGATCACCTTGAATGTTACACACTGGAACTTTAAATTGAGGATCTGCTCATTAGGAATCTACAGTCTTGCTTTACTGCTCAGTGAACTTGTGATGTTATCTTCAGGCCTGTTGGCGACAGCTCTCTGGCTAGCAAGCAGATTATCTTTTGCCAAGTACAAACTATGCACATGATCACAAATTGCGTACAGTTCACAGATTGTTACTCTAAAGCTCATGCCAAGAGTTCCTGATAGCTTTCATTTGCTGGGCAATTTTGCTGTTTCTGACAAGGCTGCAAACCCCTCTGCAGAGGAAACTCCTCATGCATGTAGCTCTGTGCCAGCCCAAGAGAAGCTCCTTAATGCATTCCTCACAGTTCTGGGACATAGTTATGATAAAGGTAAATCCATTAGATCAGTAAACAGAAATACTTTTATGTACGTGAAAAGATGGTGGAGCAGCTCAGCTAATTTGAAAGGAGGAAAATAAACACCAAAATAGGGTTATAAAGCATCTGTGGGTACATCAGACAAAAAAAGGCTGTTAATCACGTCAGTAAACCAAGGTCCTGCGTCCGGAGGTGCCTGAAGAAGTGGGTATACTCTTAATTTATGCCCTCAATTTTCTTTAAAGGCACACAATAAAGGATAAATGCCCTACTCTTGCACCTTTAGATCACCAAAAAATGGGCCAGTAGTATTTGCACAGTGTCACTTGACTTCTGCTGCTTGGCTTCAGGCAGTAAGGATCACTATGAAATCAACATTAGCCACAGAAGAGGTGCAGATGTTGCAATCATTGATTGGCCCACAGACGGGTGAGACGACTAATTAAAATGATGCGAATTACTGGATGTCATGTCTTCACCATCCTAGGAACAGCTCGCAGAATTCTACTCAGAGTGCGCTCTAGACCTGCTCTATTTGTCCTGAGATAGCTTTTATTTTGAAATGGCGCGATACAAATAAAAATGAATTGAAAAATACAGAATGATGCACATCAGAGGGGATTTAGAAGTGAGTACACGCAATGCCGACTGAAAAATAAATGAGTATACTCTGTATATACCCTGCACTGCACACCTGCCTGTGTCCCCCAAATAGAAAGAAACCTTAGAACTGACATTGCTGAAGGGTTTGGTGCAGAGAGTGTGCCTCCGTGCAGTGAGATCGACAGGATGTAGGAGGCAGGAGAGAGTTTTAGTGAGGAGGTGAACCAGTGAGTGACATCTGCTAAAAAGTCACTATCACTTACAGTAAATCTCTCCAAGGGATCTATAGTAGAAATACTGGCTTGACTGAATTCTGATTTAGTTTTTGGTGAATAATCATGATGAGTCATAAAGTTAAGTATGCAAATAAGTCTCTACCCCGGAGAAAGATTATCTGGAGTAAATTAGTCTGGTGGTGTTCCTCTAACATGCTATCAGTTGCATTCTTGGAGCATGCTTTAAAATCTATAAAAGGATGTAAAAAAAAAGCTTGAGAAAACGTGTACACAAGTAAGTATTTGAAATAATCGAAGTCATTTAAAAAACTTACATGAGAATAGGGTATTACTATGTGTTACAGTTTGTGCTACATTAAATTCTACAGTCATAAAAGGCCAAAAGATGATTGTGACAGCACTTAATTCAAGACACCAAACTTTATTTTAATCACATATAAGATACATTATTGTAAATTCTTCTGCTTACGAAAGACATGACGTGTTTTCACACGTTGACACTGCACATTTAAACTGCATTTGAACCTACATCATGCTCATCCAATGCACTTTATGTGGAGATAGAAACCACCCTACCATCTGATGGCATATCTGACAGTGCACCCCCCCCCTTGCTTTCATAAGTCATGAACTGACAACAATGGCAAGAACAAAAAAAATCTTTAATGGTGACTAGATACTGGGGCCATTCCAGTGTAGTCTGCTATATGCTGGAAGGGGACAAAAGGAGGGCATTTTAATGGTTTAACAGGCCGACCCTGTAAGGACATAGGGGGAGGGGAGGGAGGCTCTGCCTGGACTGATCAGCCTCTCTAGCTATAATTACAGCCCAGTGCTTCACATACCTGGATTTTTACTACTTTTTCCCTCCTCCAGTTCCAACCACAGCTAATCAATGTCTGAGCTCCCTGCAGCCTGAATATTATGGGCTGAAATGGTGCTAAAACACTTCATAACTCAGCTCAGGCCTGGGGAAATAGCATTAAGGGTGTGGCAAGAAGGCAAGATGAAAATAATCTCAATGTCTACGAGCTCTACCTCATTATCATGTTTTTTCTGTAACATTACCCATCCCTAGAGGTAATTTTAATGCGATTGCAGTGCACAAATATAGCGAGATGCTCTCTTGCCGTCCTCTATGAACACGAAGAGAGTTCACTGCAGCGGATACATTATTAAAGCCTGGCCTTATTGTGTTGTCATCCTTTACATAGGCTATACTGTTACGCACCATATTCCTGGGTGACCCTGTTTGGCTCTGCTGCTGCGGGACATAATTCCATAAAATGGTAGATGGAGGGGGGTGAAATTGGCAGGAGGACTAGTTATAGAGGTAAAACATAGAGGAGGAGGATCCAGATTCGCCAGAAGGTGGAGGAAGAGATGGTACAATCAAGGTCAGTGCAGGTCTAAAGCCCCATGTCTGCAGGGAAGGCAATGGAGGGCAGGGTGTCGCCCGCAGCTGCTGTGGCCTCTTGACCTGCTGGGGGAATGGATGAAGCTGCTCCCAGCTTGTTTTTTCTTTTTTTTTTACACATTTACTGACCCACTGTTGCATAGCAATATAATCCACAGTGTAAGCTCCTTATCTGCAGCACAATTTTGTGAAAAAGGAAGCACCAGAGCAGATTATTCTCAATTTGTCCAGAGAGCAGCCCCCACCCTACATAACAACCCCCCGACCCCCCCCCATTAAATGTATATAGAATAATCTTAAAGGTATATGCATGCCCCAAATTGAGATCATGAACTGTGTATGTCAGATTTTAAGGGCTACACACAATAAATCTGTAATCATTTTCTTGATTAATTGTCTGTAAATAGGCCCAGTTAAAATAAAAAGTGCTTGTTTTGTCCAGCCAAAATTCAAAATTTTTCAGTTTACTATCATAGACGACTAAGAATGCCACAAAATATACACATTTAAGTAGCTGGAATTAATAATTTTCTGCCTTTTTGCTTGGAAATTAAAAAAATATTTAAATGGAAAGAAATATTTGCAAATTACTTTTCTGTTCGCTGGACCTTGAATGTGAGTGAAAAAGAAAGAAAAACAGAAGGTAAAAAAGAAAAAGAAACATAATAGGGTTTCATTT